ACTAACACTAAAGCTGGCTGAGGAAACTACTAGCAGAATTTGCATAAGGTATTATTATCAAAAGCCTTTTTTGCTATATAAACAATATGTATGCTAAGTTTAGTGGGCAAGCATGAAAGCAACATTTTCTCATGGACATCTGTCCTTTATCAATAATGAAGGAGAAACATTTGCATCAGAGTTTCAAAACATAGTGATTGCATCCCTAAATAAAATGAAAGTGGAGATTCATAACTATATGAAATCAGTGTAACAAAACTAAATGGGAAATCTTATGGAAGGGGGCGGCATTTATATAAAATCTCTGAAGTTGATTTTACCCGCTCAAACTGGAATACATTAACTCACCAAGATGTAGGTGACCAGGATCGCTTGTGTGTAACACCAGGGCAGTTCTTGATCGGCAGTGATGAGCTAGCTTTTGGACAGGTCTTTACACCCTTCAGAAATGAACAGTCATTATGAGGTTGTCCTTTGCCTCAGAATTTTCTTTACTTCAGCATCCATAAATCTTAGGCAAAGTTGCTGCCCATCGCATGTTTTCCCTTGTTTGGAATATACAGATCTTTATGGCTACAGTCTATCTTCTTGTTGGGTAACAAGAAAAACAGTGGCCTCTGTGACGTGCCGTAACCTTGTCTTCCTGCTGTCAGAGTGCAGGGTCTTCCCCCGAGGAGTCCCCTGGGCTGTGGCCTGCAGACCTTCTGGCCTGCACAGGAACAGCACGTTGTTGCTCTGATCAATACAGGCCATTCTTTTAACCTTTTTTCTGCTGTTTCTTTGGTGCTTACACACACGCATTTCCATTCATACTTCATTCATATCAATCTTGATATTTTCTGTTTCAAGTCTCAACATATCTATGACCTCAAAGTATGGAAAAGAGATGGCCTGGACAATACAAACCATGAAGCACGTTCGCCATGCTCAAATGATGCTCTATCCTCTGTTTAGGTTTCTTCATGGAACCCACTGTATTCACAGATGTTGAAGACCATATGTATATTGCCCAGGAGGAGTCCTTTGGTCCTGTGATGGTGATTTCTAAGTTTAAAAATGGGTATGTTTTCCTCTGCTCACTGTTAGAAAGCTTATTTTGTCATTTTCACCCTAAGTGTAGAAATGATAGCATACATGGTATGATTTTGTTAAATCTCGTAAGACCAGTCTGAATCCCTAGATCCTCTTCCAGCTAAATTCTGAGAAAATGCCCTTTTTAGTACAGGGTATCCTGCTCCATGTCGATATAGAACTAATGCTGTTAGCAGTGCGTGAGAGGACAGAACGCAACCGTAAGTGCCAGTTCTTAAATAAGACTTAGTATTCAGTGAAACATTTTTACTGAGTTGATGTGGTAATTGCAACAGTTTGATCAAATTACAAAATGTGTATTTTTTTCCAGTGGAATCGCTTATTTTTCTCTGTCGCAGAAGACCGCATAGCATTGTTGTGCATTGTGTAACACTGGCACATTACTGTTGCAAATGAAAATCCCCCTGTATATTTTGTAGACTGCCAGTTTTAATAGCTTTCATTCCAAATCATAAGAAGTATTTTACACATAGATGAGATTAAAACCCTACGTAGAAACTTCATGTAACCTATTTCCACCAGGTTTCATTTTCTGCGGTTTGACAATGCAGTTGAGAGCGAGCCACATAGATAACCCTTCACATCTATAAATTATGTATGGTGATAAGGGACCGTATTGAGTTTTTTAAAGTTTAAAATTATTATGGATTTTTGAAGCTGTATGGAGATGAGATGCAAATAGAAAATAGCACTCTGGACCTGGCCTGAAAAGTTGTGTCTTGGTAGAAGTCTGAATTTCAGCATTTATTCTCCATTAACTTGTAAAGCAGGCCAAAATTTTAGCGAACTGATTCGTAATCTGCTGCCAAACTCTGCTTTACAGGTATTTTTGTATTGCTCCAATTCCCAAGTTGTACTGTAGCTGAGCAAAGTTGGTATGCGTACTGCAACTTTTCCTTTGACATTTCTTAGTGTAGAAGTTAACCATTGAAAGGTAAGGTTACAGGCTTTACAAGTTTGAAGCAAGGGTATGAATTTCCATAGATCTGTCAGATTGGCGCACAGATTAGTCTTTAATAAATTGTCTTTAAAAAAGCTAACTGGAGAAGAGAGAGCATGGGAAAAGGTGCTTCAATGACATTGGATGCGGAAGGTTGCCAACACTTGGGTTTTTTACCCGCTTGCAATTAAATAATGTCTTTCCCCCGTAGGGATGTCGATGGAGTGCTGCGACGGGCAAATACCACGGAATATGGTTTAGCTTCAGGAGTTTTCACAAAAGACATAAGCAAAGCTCTCTACATCAGTGAAAAGCTAGAAGCTGGAACAGTTTTTATTAACACATATAACAAAACCGATGTGGCAGCACCATTTGGTGGATTTAAACAGTCTGGCTTTGGGAAAGACTTAGGTAAGTTGTTCTCTCCCTCCCTCATTTCACATCTGACAGTCCAAATCAATGAAAAAGCAACCCTACCTGTGTACAGTGTACCCACTAAAACATGAGCTATGGATGCATTTCCTCTATCTCCTACATTCCTCCAATTACAGTCATCTAGTTCCTCTCCCATCCCTACAATATTCCCACCTCAATACCTCCAGTTCAACCCGTCCTGTACATTTGCTAAATAACGCTAGGGCATGCGGAATATTCCTCCTCTCAAAAGCAGTCACATTACCGCTTGTCCACAGCCGCGTACAGGCTATGAAACGCTGTCAAGCAGCAAAGGTATTGGCCAAAATCTTCTTTCCTTTCCCTCAGAAAGAATGCTAATTTAGGTTTCTCCTCTAAACGTGGAAGAGCACGGGAAACTTTTTTTTGCCTTAAAATGTCATCAAAATTTGCCGACAGCCACAGAGAAAGATGCATTAAAAAAATCTTTTCTTTTCAAAATCAGTTTTTAAAAAAAGCGAGGTCTAGTCTGTCAGAGAAACTTCACAAGTATGGACAGATCAAGCCTTGCGGCAAAGAAAAATGAAAGAAAAAAAATTTCAGTGACACAACAGATTTTTGCCTTCGGAATCTCTAGCAAGTATCAGACATTTCCTGAAACCAAAATGAGTAATAGTATCAGGAAAAGAAGGTTACCAATTTTTACACAGCTTCTTTACCTAGAAACTTACCACAGGCAAACCAAAGTTCGTAAACTCAGCTATGAGCCCCCAGTGGCCATCCAGAGACTGCTGCTGCTGCTTCAGTCCTACCCAGGTGGCTGCTTGTTAAATTCCAGCTCCTTTTTCTTTCCGCACGTGTTGGGTTTGGCCTCTTCTTGTCAAACCAGTTCCGTAAATCTCAGTGGGAGGGTAAGTTAATTAGTCTCCCCATTGTTCCTTAAGGACTCAAATACCTTAAATATCAAATAAGGATACAAATAAAATGCTAAAGCATTTTAGATTTTTTTCTTGATAATATAGTTACAGTCTCTGGCAACGTTCTCATTTAGCTGCTATTCTAACTGGTGAACATTGTTCTTGCACAGGTGAAGAAGCTCTTCATGAATATCTTAGAACCAAGGCTATCACTGTGGAATATTAAAGTAACAGCCTCAGTTGGGACGTAAACTTCCGGCAGAGTTTGAATCTTAATGACTCCATGAAACACTTCATACCATGCCCAGGATATGCTGTCTGCAGTGCTACAACTAAAAAAAAAAAACAACCCCAAAACCCCAACCAAAACACCCATTTCATGGATAAGTTCCTATAAATCAGGTCCAAATTTTAGTCTCGCTGAAAGAGAAAAGCATTTGGAAATTAACCTGAAGTTATTTAAATTATGCAGCAGCAGCCAGCACAATACCCCCAAAAAAACCAAGAACATGGGTTGGCTTATTTTTTTAAATACAACTGAAGAATGAGTTCTCACATGCCTACTTCTTACTTGTGTGAACATAATATTTACATCATCATTTTAAATCCTTAGTCATTAGGCTTCTCTTAAAGTTGAACTAAAATATACTTATTATGCCATTTTTGCTATAAACCAGTTCAAGTTTTACAGTAGCAATTAAGCATTCTGCTCTGGTGATTCCTCAGCAGTACTGAAAACCTTTGTGCCATAAGAAGTAAATAAATGCAAGAAAGTGCACTTACTATGATCTTTGTATAGTACATACAGAGTTCAACATTGGTGTTAAACTATGCATATCAAGGTGAAGTTACTGAAAATATTTTCTATCTTTTTGTTGATACAGAACGTGTGATCTGCCTGCAATTTGAAAGGTGGTTACATTAACAGATTAAAATCACTTTTTGTGTCTGTGCACACGGACTGTTACCACTGTTTTATACAGCTTGATTATTACTTTGTATTTCATACTTGCTTTTTGTTTTAATCTACGGGAAAATCTCTTGTAAAATGACTGAGTTAAGATGTTGGCTTTCAAACTTTCTGCAGTCTGAAGGAAATTTTCCATAGATTGAGACCTTATCTAACAAACTAAGCCTACCAAGACCACTTGCTCTTCTTAGAGTGCAACTCCACCCAAAGCTTAATCTGATCTGTGGGCTGCCATTAAAAGTAGCAGTCCCGTTCTTTGATTCCCATCCTTCCCCTTCGCTAAAATATTTTGTGGTTTAATGAGTTAATCCCAGTAAATCATGCCCCCATTCTATTTTTAAGAAGCCACATTGTGAAAGAAAGACCAGAATCCTCGTTATTTCTTGCCACAAATATTACAGAAACGGATATCAAAACTATAGCTTTAGGTATGGGATTCAAAATAAATTCTGTAAATAATTGCAGGTTTCAAGTCATGACACTAATATTTGAGCAAATACAGTATAGAAAATTTTACTTTAATGGTGTAGAAAATACAAAGTTCCTTTAAGAAACAAACGGTGACCTCCAGGAGCATGATAGATACTTCTGAAATGCAAACCGATCTATGAAGTAAATACAACAGCCCAAATCATTGTATTTGATCAATCTGAGGTTAAGTATGAATGAGACACACTTTCACTGATCTTGGTTTCACAATTGTTTCAAGCTAACCTAAGTACAGGCCAGCTGAAAGTTCACCTTTTTATTCTTCTGGCAGTGACAGTTGTTAACAAAATGGAGAGGACAGAAAGGGAAAGCGGGAGATGAAAAGCGTAGCTTAAGTGTAGCTTAAAGCAACTGTAAGACCACAGAGGCAGACTTGACCGTTTAAGTACTGAGGGTATCTGCACTACAGCCACAAACGTTCCAGGTATGAGGTAGTAACCTACCCGTAATGATACGGAGCTCAGTGCAGGCACAGAGGGTAAGTAATCCTTTGCTGAACTCTCTCTCGAGTCACGGCTGTCCTTACCCATGCTAGCTCATCTTGAAATGACCTCACCCGCTGCTGTAGTGTTCAACAGTTACTGTCATGAATGCAATGTAGACATACCTCTAATGTACTTTAAGATAGTTTAATATTGAAGACATCGTACATAACACTGCACAGGACATGGAATATAAAAACCAAAGCTTTTTTCCTAGTTAACTCTTTCCTGCCCTTGAAGCAAAAACAACTTCTAGCACACTACAAAAATCTTTCTTCAACAAAGCAACACAACAAGAATTTTAATTTAGCTAGTTCAAGTGCCCCAAATTCTAGCTGCTTTCTTAGTCTAACCTACTATGAAGTTCATTTCCATGTTGTTTGATGAACAGAACTGTACGTAATTCTTCAGAAATCCAGCCCGCCTCAGTCATGAGTGGATCCTGAATTCTCCACAATGTAAACTATAGCATTTCACATGATCCTGAGGGATGCTTCACTGGGAAACAAGGTAGTTTTAAGGGCCAAGTCTTCAAAGTAAGAAAACACGATTTGGGTTTTTTGTTGGTTTGTTTGGGTTTTTTTAAGTAAAATAAAATGGATTTACTCATTCACTTTGCTGTCCAAAATTTCTATTTTGCCCTTTTCTCCCTTTTGTTTAGGAAACTTAATGTTGTCTATTGTCACTTCATCAGTTATACAGTCATCTTCAGATTCCGAGTCATCTTCTGAAGTTAGTATCTCTTCATCTGTATCGGAATCACTCAGTTCAACTACAGCCACATTCTGGAAAAAAAGACCTTAGTTAACAGGTTACACATTTCTATACCACTTCTATCATTTGAGTAAAATACAAGGCAAACACGTGAAACTGCCTACTACCATAAGAAAACCACAATTAGACTTTTGGGTTCTCCTAACATTATGACAAATATCATGAACAGATTCCTAGATGTTTAAATTGTAATTTATATTTGTCCTATGGCAAATGTAAGGCCATTTTTATATCATTATCAAAGAGAGAAATGAGTCAATAGCTGAACTCAGATAGTCTAAATCAGATATTTAAACTGATGAGCAGGAAGTATCAAAACTAATTTTCAGTAAAGAATTCAAAAGAAACCATTTAGTGTATAAGAGGTCATGACATATATACAAATGTGTGTGTGTGTGTATATTTATTAATGTAGTTCATCTCTTATAACTTAGTAATATTCATGGCACTACAATTACTGCAAAATTGCAAGTAGTTTAGACCACCAGGATATTTTCTGAAGTAAAAGTGATCATATATTTCCATAGGCAGAGCCATGATTTCTGAGGTCTGTTTTTCTCTCTGAAATAGCTGTCTTAAACTGATAATCCCCACCTCAAAAACTTCCTGTATGCAGCAAAGCAAAATACAGGAATTTGAGATGCAAATAAATTTCTTCAGTGATTTGCAAATAGCATTGAGCTATTAATCACTAGGTCTCCTGGCTTGTTCATTATAAAGCCAAGACACTTGTCAGACACTGTCATATGAAAAATCTTTTAAAAATCCTGTCCCAGCTACCCATTCCACTTCAGCATATTAAAACAAACAATTTTCATCATCCACTTCGTTTTCTCACTATTTATTTGGAATTCTTCAGCATACACCGGCACTGGACAACCTCTCGCCTGTAGGCTGGATACAACCTACAAGAACTCTGAATCCAACCAGTGGCCAACAGATTGCTCGGACAGCTTACACACCAAGCCCCCGGCTGCCTTATTTCTGCCTTCTGTCTTGTGGGTCTGCAGGCCAGAAGGCATTTGTCTGGGACATGCACATATCACATCACCTTCGTATTAAAATTTTCTTACATGAGAATGTGACTGCAGCACTTCAGTTAAAAACAGAAAGAAAATTTTGATGTGAATGTAAATAAATAGACAAATACCAGCCACAAAGGATCACACCACCACTAACAACTTTTCTAAACCCAAGACCTATAGACAGTCCTAAAAATACCTACAAAGCAGAGCTGAAAGCCAGTTATTACTCTTATACTAAAGCCTTCTGTTATGCCTTACTACACCTTACCTTGTCCAGTTTCTAAACCAAATTACCCACGAGATATTTAAAATACAATCTGTGACTTACTTTTGATTCAGAGTTGCTGATTCAAAAGTATGTCTTATTCGGGCCTTAAACTACTTCATCCCCAGTCATTAAATTCTGCAAGTATGAAAACCAAGTAGTAAATTTTAACCAAATAAGCATTTTTATTGCATCTATGTTTTGAATTTGCAGATTGTGGACTAAAATGGTAAAGACTTAGTCTTACCTATCAAATTAGCTCATTCTAAGATCAGAGAATTATTTTAATCACATCTTACTTTACTTTATAAAATAAAAAAATACAGTAAGTATTTACCATTTCTATGACTTTTTCTGTTGCACTGTCTAGATTTTCAATATCAAACTGATGAGCTGGTGCTGTTACCATTTTTCTTCTTAGCTCATCATTTGCATGGGCCATCTGTGGTAAGAAGCTCTGTACTCGGTCCAAAACTGAAAAAGAAATAGTCATCGCATGTATATATACAAACAGACACATACTAGTTTTCAGATTTATACCTCAGAAATCTGAGCATTTAAACAGATTCCATTTCAACTGTAATTTCCAGCTGTCTACCATATTTAGGATGTTTTAATAGGAGGATTTATTATAGTATTCGATTTTCCAAGACATAAACAGCAAAAAGATACCGAATCTATTGGTCAGCATGTGGCGCAGGAAGAAATCGCTTCAACAATTCCTTTCAGATTCTTAAGACAAAATGTGACTACTTTACAGAAAACTTGCTTGTAAATTCCGTGGTTTTAAACATATATTGAGTGCCATCTTGAGAAACTTGCACATCAGTATTATCTCCAATGGAAATAGAATTGTGTCCTCTTTTCTTCCCTATTAAAGCATAGGCCGAAGGTCTCAAAGAAGATGGAAAAATTAGCTGTAGCACAGATGCCACAGATGTCGTGCTACGCTAAGGAAAGTTCAACATAATTATCAATTAGGGGCTCTGAAATTAAGAAGGCGGGAGAGAGACGGATGCTCTAGGTTAGAGCATAAAGCACGTACGCTCTACAGAAATACCTCTCTAAGCTCAGTAGGACTTCCCAACAATTTTAAGATAATCAGCGTCATTAGGAGAATCCCACCCATTTCCCTTCCATGGAGGAAGGGAATATCTTTCTTCAAATAATCTTTGCTCCACACCTGCAGGTGAGCCAATCACTAGATTTCATTCTCCGTGAAGTAAGAGGTACTGTTCCGAGTGAGCTCCACAGAAGTCTAACAGGTATAATCTACCTTTGAAACACTGTCACCTTTGTGGAGACTTTTATCCAAGGAAGAACTCGATATAACAAATTGGTTTTTCTATTACGTTTTAAATCTCAGCTCAATCACAAAATAAAAATACAGTAATTTGACAGGAGTCCATTTTAAATTAAATGCTTTTATACAGCAAATATTTTATACTGAGAAATTACTTCTGAAAAGAGGTAAGAAGCCCAGATCAGCAAAAAAGCAACAACTCTATACTGGGAAAGAACAATCTGAGAGTAAAGAACTCTGGCATATTTTCATGAAGAGAAAAACTCCTGAAGATACACTACTTTCAAAAAATAATTTTTACACTACGTCCTCTTATGCACGGAATTACACTGAAGAGAATGCTAGCAATCTATGTGTAGCTTTGACTAAGAAAGAAGGAACATAGCTCGATTAAAGAAAAAACCCTTTTCTTAATGCATTCAAATTAACTTGTTATGAATGAACGGTTATAAGATCTGGCTTAATAATTTTGCCAGCACATTCATTAAAAATGAAGTTCTGAAAGTGATCTACGTAACTTGCATCAATTTGAAAGTAGCTGACCAAATGAAGACCAAAGGTACAACCTGGCAAATTCACTATACGCAGACAGCGCGAGTATTTCTGCAAGGAAAACTAAGTCCTTAAAACTTACAGCTGTAACGCCTAGCATGGCAAAATCTAGCTTTGCAGTTATGTGATTAACCTGTGGGACGTGCGACTGCAATGGAGGACCTAGGACCAGCAGAAACAGAACACCGGAGTTTCTCCCTTTTACTAATGCAAGGAAAGCACTGAAGCAAAAGTTATGTCAAATATGTTACCTACTACTTGACGCTGTTCCAATAACAAAGCCCTACTTACCATTACTCCTTGGCATCCTAACTGTCTGCAAAGTTGTGGCCTTCTTGCTGCTACATTTTGAACTAATCAACAAAGTTTCTTCCAGCCCTGGAAACAAACAAGTATTTGAATGTTTACCTATGTCAACCAGAAATGTCACATTTTAACTGTGAGGCTCTCTTCTTGCCCCTACTTTTCCACCTTCCTACAGCAAGACTGAAAATGAGGATTCAACTGCCTCTGCCTCCAGGAATTCCACTCTGCTTTCCTGCAAATACTGTTTCGTGATGTCTGTTTGGGGTGGTCACCTCAGTACTTCCGTGCGCAGTAGGCAGTGAACATCTAGAACTTGCTACTGCAAGAGGCTGTGAAAGCAGGCGGATCAGCAGCTTCAACACGGAATTAGACAAACTCAGGGCAGCAGAGGCATAATCAGATACTAAAGGACTGAGCAGGAACATACCCCCTCGCATCCCCACCCCCTCAGTTGCAGATACTGGGCAATTACAAGAACGGGGGGCACACAGCGCTTAAACTAACTAGTTCTCTGCAATTATCACCTGCTATTGCAGTTGATGGGAGACAGAATACTGGGCTATACGGACCACTGGTCTGACCCAGCAGGTCATTTCTTGCGGGCTCCCACTGTTTTTAAAGTCTTTTGTCATTGATTTATTTAGCGACAGATATCAACGCACAGAGAAACTACCTGCAATAACCCACAGGAAAACATAGTGAGGTAGCAGCTAACGCGAGGCAGTTACGCTGATTTACATCCCTTCCCTCACGTCTGTGACTGTGGTGGCGACCAGTGAAAGCAGGCCACACGCGGCGGCGCCAATGACCTAAGTAGATGCTTTTAAGAGTAGGATCATAAAATCCAAACGACGTAGGGAAACTCCGCGTTAATTAGACAAGTTAGTTCTTACCACCACCAACACAGCCATCAGCCCTTTATCACTAACTAAAATGAAGCTGTATTTCTTTTTAGCATTTTTTATCCTCATAGACTGTTTAACCTGGGGTTTTCCCCTGTATTTACTTCGTCCTGTACTAGCAGTGCCCGGGGAAACGGTAGCTCTTCAAATCACGCGAGAGAGAATAAAAAAATGCAGTGCTAGCAGCCAGCTGGGGTGGAGGGCCCCCTCCCTCGGGCTGCCCGCCGGCGGGCGAGGCCG